GAGATTTTCTTCGGTCTTCCTTAATTCCGAACTTCTGCCCCAACCCCTGAACTGAGCCATGTTTTCTGAGGCCTTATACCTTAATTTCCTTAGTCTTTTTTACTGTTTACTGCTTCTGAAACTAGTCTTCATGATTGGATCTCAATTTCCATATGCGATACATCCTCTCTGCCCCAATCTCCAGCTATTTCCTCCAAATCATTTAGACAATTCCAGTAACTCATAGCTGTCTTTCTTTTAATTTCCCCCCAATTTAAATTCCAGTAAGAGACAATCAACTCATTAATACATATATATTTATTTAATTCATAATATAGTATTTTGGATGGGCTGGGATGTTTTAAGGGATGAGGCTGTGTAATCTACAGATGCTCAGATTTCTATACTAGGAGAGAAGCTATTGGTCCAGAGCTCCCAGTACAAACAAGCCATGGGTAAAATATTCGATTAAAAATATTCTAACAATATGTCCGGCTGGTGTGGCTCCATGGTTGAGCGTTGATCCATGCACCAAGAGTTGCTAGTTCCATTCCCTCTCAAGGCACATGCCGGGGCTGCGAGCTCAATTCCCAGCTGGGGACGTTCAGGAGGCAGCTGATCAATGTTGATGCACCGATGTTTCCATCTCTCTCTCTCTCTCTCTCTCCCTTTCCCTTCCTCTCTAAAATCAATAAAAAACATTAAAAATATTCCAACAATAGTCTAATAAATATTTTAGCCAACAACAACACAGCATATGTATGAATGGCAGATTAGACCATAAAAAGCAGTTTTACCTGACCTGATGACAGTCAACCTATAATACACAGCCAAATACAGCCCAATGGATCCAAAGCTGCAATTGGCTTTAGGAATTGAAACAATTGTGGGAGTGGTTCTTGTCTGTCAGCATCACATTCTCCATTTTGTCGAGGAAAGAATATCAAATATTGGAGCTTATCAAAAAGTCCATCCATGGATTATTCCATCCAGGTAGCCCATGTATAAATATGTAAACCATGGAAGCTTAGAAAATTCACCTCATGTATTTCAGCTGGAAAGAATATGTAAATGATTTTGCTGCAATCTGAATGTCACTGCATCCAAAGTTACACAATGGAAATACATGATAAAAACAGATGCAGTTACTCTTACTTACAAGTAGCCAGAACTCCAATGTGGCATTAAAATTTCTTTCATATACTCGAAACAGGTTTAACTTTATATTTTATTATTTTTGTGCTTTCTTCAATAAGACAGTACAAAAGTGGAAATAAGCATAAATTGCAGACAGATAGAACAATTTGCTAGCAGAAGGGATTGTGGGGGAATAAACTGAGTAGAACAAGAGCAACGAAAACTTATGGAGTTACCTTCCTTGATGTTAAACAGGTCCTATTTCCTTTGTTCAACTGGGTTCAGCTAAAGGTGGTCAATGATGTCTTTTAAGGGCCCTGGCATTACCAGTATCCTATGAAAGTCTTAAGTTTACTGAAGTAAGTATCTGGGACTCACCACACCCCCACTGAGTACTTTGTCACCATGTTGTCTCTTGGAAAGCAATTATTGTTTCATTATTTGGCTCAGCAATTTAATTGTTTATCCCAAGCCCAATTTCATTTCCTACTTTATTCAGTAGGCTTAGCTCTGATTTTTGGTTGTAACCAAAATTTAAATCTACTTTCAAAGAACGAATTTGAAAAATATTGAAAAGTGATTGAAAAGAATGGTGCCACAAGCTCCAGACAATTCCCCAAGCCAATTTCCAAAGAGCTTTTGAGGAGGACAATACTCGTACTCATTTATGCATATAAGTCGTGGGACGTCTGCAAAATAGTATCAGTATAGCCCAAATGGAAAAGCCCAAGCTTTTCCGCCCAGGAAACAACAACACTAATATGAATATCAGAGTACAACGTTGATCATTCATTCATTCATTCATTTGTTCGTTTGTTCAATAAACATTAGGCAACTACTCTGTTCCACACACTATCTCAGGTGTGAAAAATACAACAAAAACAAAAGCATAGACCCTGGCCTCAAGGTATTCATAGTCTAATACAGAAGTTGATTGTTATACATTAAATTTGTGTGTGCATCAGAATTACCTGGAAAGCTTGTTAAAAATGTAAAATTCCACCCATGTGTCCAGATATTCTAATTAAGTAGATCAGGGCTGGGATCTATGAATCAATTATTTTATCAAACACCAAAAGTGATTCTAACAAATGATATAAGGCCCACACTCTGAAAAACATTGCTATCTAATATGATTATCACCGAGGCCATAAGGATGCTTAGGGTGCCATGGGAGCTCTGAAGAGGAGAACATAACCCAGTCTAGAGGGTGAGAATTAATCTGATTAAGAGGGGTGAAAGGTAGCCCAGGCTAGGATCAAAAGATGGGGAAGTTTAAGCTTTGTCTCAGGATACTAAAATCCAAAGGGCACAAAACATGAATGGCGTGGGAGACCCAAGACAAGGTACAGGAAATTGGACTGAGGTGGAGGTGGAGTGTTTTGCACTTTTAGCAGTTTCATTCTATTCCCTTAAGAAGAATTCCTACCGTTTATTTCCTGTGGGCATCAAAATTGTTATAATGTCTCCGTTCCAGGCTCAAAGAACAACTTGTGTAAATAGTTAAGCTTGGCTAGGGTAACCAGTGTGAGGGGGAAAGTGACAAAAGATGAAGCTAGAAAAACACACAGAGACTTAAAAGGCCAAACCCTCAGTAATTGGGACCTTCTACTGAATGCTATGGAAGAAAGGGCAGTGAAAGTTTTTATTAAGGGAAGAAATCACTTGCTTTGTTTAAGAATTGGGGGATAGACCATAAAGGAGAGACCAGAGTAACTTAGAAATGAAAGGCATACATTTTCAAGCACCACTACACTCTACTGGGGAAGGGGCTGGGCGAGGCAGTGGGGAGAAGCTTAATATTCATTATACACTTAACTAAATGCCAGGGGTTGTGCTAAGCAGTTTACATGTGCTTTTTTAAAATTGTCACCTGAGGATATGTTTATTGATTTTAGAGAGGAAAGAAGAGAGGAAGAGAGAGAAATGTTGATGTGAGAGAGAAACATTGATAGGTTGCCTCCAGTACATGCCCTGACTGGGGATTGAACCTGAAACATAGGTATGTGGTCTGACTGGGAATCAAACCTGCAACCTTTTGATGTAAGGACAACACTCTGGGCCACTTGGCCAGGGCAACATGTGCTATCTTTTTAAATCTTTGCAAAAGCCTTGTTAGGTAGGTATTTTACAAAAGAGGAAACAGAGTCTCAGAGAAATTAAATTGTTGCTCTTGGCCATACCACTAATTAATTGCAGAGAAACTAGGGTTATTTTCGTACAAAGGCTATGAGCTCCCCATTAGAGCAAGCTATTTCCCAGAATCTTACTGAGGTTGTTCATTTCCTGATTAGCAGTAAGTACATATGGTTTTTTAAACCAAAAAGCTCACTTTGCCACTAGATATGTTAAGTCTGAGCCAGCCATTTGCATCTGCCTCCATCTTGCTTTCCACGTTAGTTGAACAAACAATACAAAAGTGTCCTTCAGGGGATGTATATAGATACGGTGTCCCTCCTACAAAACAGTAAGCCATTTGACAGCAGGGACTAGGTTTTATCAGTATTTCAGTGGCAGTGTGGTACCTGGCATCTAGTAAGTAGTTCATTGACTGAATTAATAAATGAATATCCACCAAAGTGGTGGAAAGAAAGAGGGGAGAATTTGGGGCACTCAAGGCTCCAATTTGGGAGCTTGTTACAGCTACAGTTTGGTACAACAGTAATGTTTTTACAACTCCTGAAAAGTAGACTCCTTGAAGCAGGCTCAGCTCCTGGAAAGGAGACAGCTCTGGTTCTGACATCCCCATTCCAGCAGTGAAATTGACCATGACAGTAATAAGGTCTGGGATGAAGTTTATAAGTGCATTTGCAATGAAGGGTTAGCTAAGCAGATAAAGAGTGTAAACAAGATGGCAAAAAGGAATGATTATTTAGCCTGTTTAAGAAAACAAACTGTTCTCAAGCATTCACACCCCCCTCAGGCATTCTTAAGAAAATTCAAGTACATTTATATGCAAATAGTTGTATCCCTAACACTCCATTCTGATTAAGTAAACAAAGCAGGTTCTTAAAGAACCTCCATTATTTTTTTTGCATAATTTTAGTGACCATATGTACTTGAGAATAAAAGAAAACTTATTTCTGTGATAGAATTTTTTAACAATTCAGACAAACCTCCTCTATTAGGTAGCATCAATGAAACTGTGCTACATGTAACACTTCTACCTGGATCAATTTTCTATCTAGCAATAGTATCTCGTATGCAGTATTGTCCCTCAATGCCTCCTAATCCAACCTAGAGCTCTTCCTACCATCTATGTCATTATTGCATGTGAATGTGTGCGTGACAGTAGGGAAGAAAAAAGGGATGAATGGAGGGAGGGGATTAATGTTGACTGATTTTGTTGTTCCCTATAGGGGACAGAAATGAATTGTATAATGTATTTCCCCTTCCAGTATATTTTTGACCCAAATGAACAAATTAAGTTGATTATGTATATAAAATCTAGAAAATGAATAAATGATACATATTTATTCATTTTATAATTATATATACATATATATATGTTTTCTTCATAATAAATCCTTGATTATAGATTTTTATTGTAAGCTATATATAATATGTAACCATTTAACACTTTAAAATTCTACTGGGCCAAATTGGCCAACACTAGAAAAGCTGACACCCCTATTTCCAGCTGGCTAGTCCCTTGTTCAGAGCATCATTCTACACTATTTACCTAGAATTACCCTAATTCCTTTCAATATCATTTATACTTATAAATCACTGGGAATTTTTAATTCTCTAATGACAAGAGAGGTATTTTCTAAATTTGTTCTCCAATGGTTTGAACCCAGACTACTCAGATTTGTTCTAAGAAACTCAAAACATTACTTCAAATATGAGCTTTAATGCACAAAAATTAAAGCTATAATATCTAGTTATTTTGGATGCTTCAAATGAACTTTATTTGGTATCTTGTATACTGGACACTAACTGAAGTTTAGGAGGGGAAGAACTGCTGAAGTGGAGAGCCAGAGAATTATATGCTTTCTTGAAATTTTAATGGCAAGCTTTCATCCCAGAAACATAAGGGGATTCTTGAGGCCTGCAGTTGCATTCCTGACGCTCAGGGTAATCAATAAAATCTGGGGCAGGCAAGCCAGACAGGATCATTAGGGATTTGTTCCAGATTGTGAATGTTGGACAAACTGGAAGAATAAAGGTCACATCAAAAGTATGAAGATGCAGAGAGTTAGCTGGATCATAGAAAGACAGCATATTGTTGTCATAATCCAGAAGGACACCCAGGCGCTTCAACTGTGGGGGCACATCCACCAGCATTTCCTTGTTGTTATGTCTCACAACGAAGTTACTATTGCATCGAGAGAAAACCCATGAGGAGGCATTCTTGCCAATCCATTCATTCTTGGGAGCTGATTTGTAGGCAATGCCAATTGCATACCTGTGAAACAGTGGAAAGGAGAGAGAAATAAATATTTAGTAATGATCTGTGTTATGCTAGATACCATACAGAATATATAAGAAATAGAATACATGTCTCTTCCTTCCTTAAATAGCTTATATTTAGATCCATAATGTTGATACCACTAGAACTTTAATAAGTTAGCAATTAAAGTGCTGTAGTAGTTTCCAACTCCTAGCTCAGTATATTTTCCATGATTTATTTTTAAAAGCTGGCACATTTTTCTAGGAGTGGTTTTCATCACATGTTTTTTAACCTTGACTTACTGGTATTATGTGTATGTTATAGAACTGGATCTCCAGGAACCTAACAACAGGGGAGAGAAGAGAAAAAGAATAGTGAGATCCACTCACCATGTTGAGGAAGCCATGACTACCTCCCAATAGTGGCAGCCACTGTCAATGAATATATTTCCTGCTGCGCCATAGCACCCTGTGCCACTAAACCTCTCTGGAGTATGGCTTTTCTTCAGAGAACTTTCATCCTTCTCCATCTGCAATCCATCATTGGAGATCTTCAACTTCTTGTGAGTCATTTTGGGATCCAGTTTAAAGGGTTGGCCTGAAAAAAGTAGAAGTAAGAAAACGCATGAGGAAATATTTAAGAATTCTTTGTCTTCCAGGACCATCACTACCAGAGGAGCCTTGATATGATGGTCATTCTTGGATCAGTGCAAGTTGGCTGTTTTTTGTTATATGAAGGAAGCAGGCCAAAAGTCACCATATTCAATAAAATAAGAATATGCTGCCCTGGCCGGTGTAGCTCAGTTGGTTGGAGTGTCATCCCATACACAGAAAGGTAGCGGGTTTGATTACTGGTCAGGGCATACACCCGAGTTGTGGGTTTGATTCCTGGTCAGGGTGTGTGTAGGAGGCAATAGATAGATGTTCTCTCTCTCTCTCTCTCTCTCTCTCTCTCTCTCTCTCTCTCTCCCCCTCCCTCCCTCCCTTCCTCTCTCTAAATCAGTAAAGAAACATATCCTTGGGTGAGGGTTTAAAACAATAATATGCTGCCCCCTCCATATATTATCAAATTAAAAGGGGACTCTTAGGGTCTCAAATTTGTTTATTATTTTACTTTTATTTCAGTAGGTGATTTGGTATTTGACTGGATTTTAGTGTTTGAGGTGAGACAAAGTGAGGGAATTGATGAGATCATTTTTGCTTATTAGCATATCAAAACTGAAAATAAATCAGCAACAGGACAATTTTTTTTTTGCCCTCTTACAACTGGGATAAAAATAATGTAATTAGGTAACTTCATTAGAGTGACTATTGCATCATCAATGGTCAGATAAAATATTTGTTGTGTAAGATCATTCACAACAGATAATTCCTTATCTTCATATGACAAATCCAGGTACTAGCACCACCAATTGCTGTGAATGGCAAGAGCCATATCAGACAAAATTTGTCTGTGGCAGACACTGTTGGTGAACACAACACCCATTTCCTACTTTTTCTTTCTTACCCACTTTCACCATAGAGACCAGAAAAGCTAAATACTCCAGCACCTAAGTCTCCCTTGCTGCTAGGGGCGGCTAATAAGATGGAAATAGTTGGAAGCCGAAGTCACACAGGGTGTGAGAACCTTCTGGGAAAGTGCATGTTTTTGTGATAAAAGGAATAGCCATCATGTATACCAGCCCTTTATCTTTCTTTCTTTCTTGAAAGAAAATATGACATCTACTGGTTGCAGTAACTCTGTTGTGACCATGCGGCAAAAAGCCAATACAGAAAAGGAGAAGGGGCCTGAGTCTTTTACGACATCACAGAACTGATGCAACACCCTGAACTGCATACCTTCAAACCTCTTGCTATGGTATTTTTAAAAATATATTTTTATTGATTTCAGAGAGGAAGGGAGAAGGAGAGAGAGAGATAGAAACATCAATGATGAGAATCATTGGTTGGCTGCCTCCTGCATGCCCCCTAGTGGGGATGAGCCTGCAACCCAGGCATGTGCCCTGACCTGGAATCAAACTGTGACTTCCTGGTTCATAGATCAATGCTCAACCACTGAGCCACTCCAGCCGGGCCAAACCTCTTGCTATGTTAGAGAAAGAAAAACAATACTTTGTTTGAGCTACTAACAAGTAACTGTTAAGCTAAATTAGTTGAATTTTCTGTCACTTGCAGTCAAAAGCATTCTTAACAGGTATGGCTTCTCTGCAGTAGGATTTTAGCAGATTATCACAAACACAGTCATGCTCCACAAAATGGTATTTCATTCAATGACGGACCACATATAGGATAGTGGTATGCCATATAGCCTAGGTGTGGAGTAGTCTATATCACCTAGGTTTGTGTAAATACATTCAATGACATTTGCACAACAACAAAATTGTCTAATGATTCATTTCTCAGAATATTTCTCTATTATTAAGTGGTGACTGTAGTAGTCTTTTACTCAACTGTCCCCCAAACATGAGGATGGAGTGCAGAGAAAACCACTTCACTAACATCCTCCAAAGCCACCAGCTAGTTTATGTATATCTGTATCCACATATCTTCCAGAGCCTTGAACAAACCCCTCGATCAAAGCACAAACTATAACAGTAAAGCTCCTCTACCCAGGGCCTCTGATGTCTCCTCAGGCTAAGTGTACTCCCTGGCACAGGGGAAAACTGATGTCTCCTTTCAGAATCACCATAACATACTGTTTGTTTTTAGTCGGGTAGGTTCACTGTTACGGCTGCCTGCTTGATTTATAGCTTTAACAATGAAGATGTAGCGTGTCCCACTCTGGAGTCCATGCACTGTGTAATGGTTCTGCTTAATGTTGGGAACAATCATCCAGCTATCCACCGAATTATACAGGCCTGTAACATGGGGAAAGACAAGGACATTAACCAGCAGGTAATAGAAATAGAATGAAAAAGCACACTGAAAATTCATCATAAGCCCCCCCAAAATTGAATTTTTTTTTTTTTGTGAGTCCTGGAATACATAGTGAAATGAACCTCCCCTGCTTTTTTCCTGCCATGGAGCTAGGCTCATGCCTAGTTCCTTGCTTCTGGTAATTAAATGTAACCACTAGGGAAAGTGAGGTTACTTTAATTTTCTTCAAAATAACATAGGAAAAACTATTCTACAAAATCACAGAATCATCTCTTTTATGGAGTCTCCAGATCTTCACCCCAAAGGTCCAATCCTCTGAAAGCTGAGTCTGGCCTTGTATGGATGGAACAGTCCTGTGCAGAGCACAGGAACATTGAATCTAAAAACCAAAAGGACACCTAGACACCATATTTCCCTCATTTCACAAATGGGACACTCAGATGGAGAGAAGAAAAGTGATTTGCCCAAGGCCACAGATAGATGGTGATGATGCTGAGAGTAGAAGAAACCTAGTCTCCTTAACACTAGTTCGGTGTTCTCTCCATTGCATCACAAGTCACAGGGTGAACAACTATGTCTTGTCATTGCAAGGTAGCAACTCTCTTAGGGCTTATGACTCAACTCTCCCATCCCATCCTCATTCTTATTTCCAAGACTAGTTGGGCTCTAGGTATCATAGGGAAGCCAAGGAGGTGACATGATAACCAAAGCAAAATATTATCTCCTCACTTGACACTACAGTTTTATCCCTTCTTGGTTCTGATCCCAATATTCTTTTGGGGTTGGGTGACTCAGAAATACACTATTATCTTGAACATTCTTTCCTCCCAGGTCAGGAAAAGGTTCAGAGATCTATGTTTCTGCTTTTGAAACTATTTAGAGCATAAACATGGACTTAAACAGAGGAAAATGTACAGAACTAAAAACGTATTCGGCTAACTTTTAATATAAGAGGTATCAACATTCTAGTCTATGGATTACCTATATTTCTCTCTTCTGTTATCTTCTTTTTAGTCAGTTTACTGCTTTTTAAACACAATTCTACCAAAGGGTGAAAAGGAAATGTTGAGGAAAATGAGTGATGAATTTAGTCACTTCTATACAGCTGTAGTAAAGGGTTTGAGATTGAAAAGAAAAAAAACAATAAATTTTTAAAAAGCAATTTGATTTTGGGGGTAGAAAAAGTATAAATTAAAACTAGAAAAAAAAGCACAATGGAGGGCAAAAAGATACGCTATAGAAAGAAGAATAGTGGAAATGATCAGTGATTCTTAGGAAAAGATAATAAAGGGATAAGAGCCAGGGACAATGCTTGAGTGTTTGGCTGTCTACACACCAATGCATAGTATGAATCATAAACTGAACATGAAATTTTAATACAAAGAGGGAAATATATGATCTTCCAGACATACGTCTAACAATGCAAAACAGAAAACAAAACAGGTTTCATAATGAAGTATTATGCAATTGTAAAAATGTATGAGGGGGATCTCTATGAACTGATATTGAGTGATTTCCAAGGCATATTGTTAATTGAATTAAGCAAGTTGTGTAAAAGCATGCATAATATTAGTATGCTACCTTTTTGCAAGAAAGAAAGGCAAATAAGAAAACATACATACACGAGGGAAAAAAAGGACACATATGTAATACCCTTTGTAATAATTTAAGCAATAAAATAAAAATAAAATAAAAAGCAAAAAAACACACAAATCAAAACAAAAAAAAAACATACATACATTTGTGTGGAGTTATAAAACAACAATAACAACAGGAAGGAAAAAAAAACACAGAAAATAATGAAGTTGGTTATTTACAAGGGATGGGGATGGGTGAACAGGATTAAAAGTATATGGTAGTGACCGTGCTTTATCAGAGCTGTTTTTAATGACGTTATTCTAGAATGTGTTCTTTCCAGATGATGATGGAGAAGCTTAAAAAAATGGTGCCAGGTACCACAACAGTAACAGAACTTTGCTGTTTTATGGAGATTTGTGTTTTACCTTTTTTTTTATTGGAGTGTGCTGGACGTCTCTAAAATTTTGTTCAGATGACTGGAGAACCTGGAAAATCTGTTGCTGCTATTGATGCATAACATACTGCTATTGCTCTTTTTAAATAAATTATATATATATATATATTGAATTTTTGGAAACTTTAGTTGTGCTGTCAACTTTGGAAAAACTATCCCAGTTGTACTGTGTTGGGTTGGCATTGTACAGAAGTTAACAGCCATATTGGTCTAGAAACGTTCAACATATTTTTTTTCCATTTCTACAGGGGTAATCCACTGTATTAAATATGTAAGGTCTTAATCTACATGGGTTTGATTACAGAAACTAATAAAGTATTATCTAAACAAAAAAAGTATATGGTAGAGAATGACACTTATATGACTATACCTTTTTGTACAGTTTTCCTTTTTGGAATCATGCTGCTGTTTTATAAATTCAAAAGTTAAAATGAAATCAATATGATTGAGAAGAGTGAATACTAAAACTAAAGACAAACTGAAATAAATGAGCCCAACTGCGTTTCAAATGAAAAATAACCACACCAAAGGGATGGGGGTAGGAGGAGAATTGCAAACAAGTCCTGAACTATTGTTTGTTTTATAGTGGTGTGGGCAAAGCAAATTCTGAACCTATTGTAAATATATTATGGAAGTGAGCAAATGAGTACATGTATCAATGTTGTTAGGAGCCAGGGTTCTCATTGTGAAAGTAGGAACATACAAATATGTAATGGGGAAGGCAAGAAAGAACCTGGGGGATGAACTGAAATTAGAGGTATTGATGGAAACTCATGATATCTAAATATATATATGTATGTGTATACATATGTGCACATATGTAAAGTATATGTATATATACTGTATGTGTGTTCATATATATATACATACATGAATGGATGTGTATATTTCTAATCTCCATGTCTTGGTCTCTAATACCATTCTCCCCCTAAATAAAGTGGTTTAAAAAGAGAGGAAATGTGGAAAAACCTTAAGGGAAGTGTCTCTCAGAAGCGAGGTTCAGTCAACAATGGCAGGCAGACTGGCAGGTAGGACTGGAACCATGAATCTTCATGAATACTTAGTCTTAGTAAAATAGTTTTAGTTTATCTGCCCACTGCCATAAAAAATTTTGCTTCAGGGTCTGCCCTTGTCCCAGTCCTGTTCTACTTTTCTATCAATGATCAGAGGAAGACATGGAAGGCAGCCTAGAAGGGGAAGTAAATGTATTGGAAGGCAGAAACTGGTCAAAAGGATATTAGCAGGCTAGAATGAGGAATCAACAGTGTTGTATTTCCATGTGGACAATCAATTAATTTAACAGGAATAGGATTTGAAATTCCTAGGGATGTCAGCTGACTATATGCTCAGCCAACACTGAGTAATCAATACGGCTATTCATTTTTTAAAAAATAAAAAGGTTCCAAGGAGAAGGGCAACAGGTAATACACAGAGAAATAATCCAGCTGTCTCCTGCAATGCTCAGACTACTTTTGAAGTGTGTTCACTTTTTTTAAATTCTCACCCGAGGATATTTTTTCCATTGCTCTTTAGAGAGACTGGAAAGGAGGGAGAAGGGAGAGAGGTACACAGAGAGAAAAACATTGATGTGAGGGAGACACATCGATTGGTTGCCTTCTATATGTGCCCTAACTAGGGGACAGGATCAAACCTGCAACCCAGGTATATGCCCTTGAGTGGGAATTGAACTCGTGATCCTTCGGTTCACGGGCTGGCATTCTAACCACTAAGCCACATCGGCCAGGGCTATATTATGAAGCATTTTGACAAGTAGCAGTGTGTCCATACAAAGACTACTAGGATGGTAAAAGGTATGAAACATGAGAAGCAATTCAAATAACTGAGGATGTTTAGCCTGGAAAGGAGAAAATTTAAAAGAGACACAAGAACTACTTAAAATTATCTGAAGAATTGTCATGTGAAAGATTGATTAAGTTTGTTAGTGAGGCATAAAATGGCAGGCCTAGGACTAATTGGTAGCTGTGGTTTAATACAAGAAGCATTAGCTTGAAGTCTGACAGGCTTGAGTTTAAATCTTGACTCCATCAGTTTGCAGCTTTGTGACCTTGGGCAACTCATTTTGACCCTCAGTTTCTTCATCTATAAAATAGAATTAATATCATCTATTTCATTAGGCTAAGTAAGAACTCATGAAGACTAAATAAGATAATGTATGTGGGAGCAATTGTCAATGACAAAACATAATACAGGTGTAAATTATTATTGTCATTATTATTTACTAGGGAAAAAGTTAGACCTTTTATAAAGAAGCACTGACAATTATTTACAGCTGTTTAATTAAATGAGCTGTTTTTTTAGAAGTGAAATATCCATCACTGGAAATGTTCAATCAGAGACAGGATAATCATCTACTGGGAATCTGGTAGAACAAAAGATTAGAATAGATGACTTCTAATGTCATCCCTTCGAATTCTAAGATGCTATAATCCCTTTGCTATTAACAATTAACCTTTAAGCTTTTCTTTACAAAGGACTATATAACCTTTAAAATAAAGGTGGCAGCCTTTAGATCTTTGCCACTATTTGGACTTATACTCAACTACAGGAGTCCACTGTTCTCCCCATATCAGGAAGAAGAAGCACAGTTGCTGGCTCTAAGACTTTCCAGAGCAAGAGAGACAAGTGCAGAAAAGCATGTTGGGAAGGCCTTAGAGTTTGTGACTTCACACAATGAAGAAATACCCAGGAACACCCAAGATCATGGCTATCTTGGCCAAGTGGCTTAGGTTGGAACTGCACGAGGCAAGTGTTTTCGAGAGTTTGACCCCAAATGTCCTCTCACCTCTCCACCCCACTACGTGGCCCAGAATTGTCACAATTCAGCAAAAGGAAGCCTATCAGGAGGGTTTCACTGGAAAAACTCCTCTCATGCAAGCCTGTGAAGTCAGAAACAGAAGCACAAACACACAGGTAAAAGAAAATACTAATTAGCAGCTATGCAGATGCAACCTTAGGATGGAAATCAGTTCCAGTGTTGAATCTAGCTTTAATTCTTCTTTAATTTCCATTTTTCCCCAGTGCACTGAGGGGAATTTGCACCTTGAACCCTCTTATCTGGCAATCGATGAGTTAAGTTCTACTCTGCCCTGTCTTGATCCAGTTCATGAGAAGGTGAAACCATAAGAGCTAAATGACTGCTTTTTTAACATCTTTCATTCTGTGGCCCACTGACAAGTTTCTATATTTGGTGTAATTCTTTGAGGAAAGGAAGAAGGGGTAAAGGGAAGAGTGACAGAGGCAGGAAGCTTGTCACTATATTTACTAATACAAATGTGTATGGTAAAGAAGTAGTAGTCTTTGAACATAATGTATTTTACCATGGTAATGAAGTGGAAGAAAAGTCAAGGGGAGAGATGTTCACACACATAGAATCAGCAATGATGGTGGCTTAGCTACCCAGGAACAATATATGAGCTCTATTCTAACTTGAGAGAGTGGAGTGACATGGATTAACTGAGGAAAAGCTAAAGATTACATAAACAAATGGGAGTGGCCCCAGTGACTGCCCAGCAAGAAAATACACTACTTGCTGATGGGCCCTTTGCAATGCAAAGCTGGAGGAGCTTATACTGTCTACAAAACACTGTTCTAAACAACCTAACATGTCTTACAAACACTTGCCTCGTGGCGCCCCGGCCAATCTTGAGCAGCTTACTGCTTCCTTACATTTCCTTATCTCTGGCCACAGGCCCCAACTACACCATGACTTACTGATGAAGTTAGCCTGGCCAGTGAATATGGTGTACTGAAGCTCATAGGAGCTGATGCTGAACTCATCATCCGAGATCCAGTGGACTGTAATGGTATCATGGGAGGCAGTACAGAGTTCCTCTCGGATAGATGGTGGGTTTGGGGCTGTAGGAAAAGGTGGAAAAGAAGGTAAGGAAATCACATTTTCTGTTCTGGAATTTTACAACCATTACTTTTGCTGCTCAACCCAACATCTTGTGAGATTTTAATGAGAAGCTTTATACTTCACATACCATAGAACCTAAGGCAAAGGGTAGAGACCTCAAGCTCCCCCAACTCACTTTTGCTTCAATGATAAAGACGTATTAGGCAAAGATATAAGCCTAAGTTATTGAGATGAATGACCAATTGTCTACACTGTCTGAAAACACAGGTAAATATTAGACCAAAGTGGTCACACTGTTTTCTTATTACATGACCTTCAACCTATTACGTTTTATTTCAAAATAAGTTTTACTATATATGTTTGGCAGTATACCAAAACGCAAAATAATATGTGTTCCCTTATCTGTAAAATAAGGATGATAATTACATCATAGATTTGTTGCAAGGATTCATGACATAAAATTAATATACAGTGTCTGGCATAAAGTAGATGTTCAATAAATGACAGCTATTTTAATATATTAACAAAAATAACTCAAAGTTATTATGTGTGTGTATTTTTCTCAGGAAATGATCATTCAAAAAATCCTGAATATAGCCAGCATTTTTTAAAGGTTGGTTGCATTCCCTCATTTTCTAAAATTCTCTGCAAGCCAGATATTTCTTACAGTTTTCTTCCTAATCTGCCAATTCTTAAGTTTCCTTAAAACGATTTGAGTGGTATCTGTACCTATGTGGGACATTCTCTTATATTACATAATTGCCACCTGAGTCCTACCCCCATAACAAGTAACAATATATTACTGATAGGTTCATAAGGAGAAATCCTTTAGCAACTATTTCTTTTTTACTTTTAAATATGGATGTAATACCTAATCTGCCCCATAAATATTTGACAAATCATCTTTCTTTTCTGTTACATTAACAAAAATGTGTTCTATTTAAAAAGACACATGTATCATTTCATAGGTTATAAAAGCATTTTCATTATACATATTGTCCTTTCCAGATTATTTTAAAGTATAAGCACACCAAAAGAAATAAAATATGAGAAAGGAAGCACAGTATTTTCACACCTGTTAAATAATCTAGCCCCTCTAGCAATTTCTTTTCTCTGGAAAAATCTAAAGCAAAGTTTTCAAAGGCATCATTAAAATTGATGTCGGGAATCAAAACTTGAGAAGATGCAGTTGCCATAGCGACCCTGCAAAAGAAAAAAAGTACATCAATATACATCAAAATAAGTTTGCAATCATTATGCAGTGTTTGATTTCTGGCTTAACAAGGTGAAATTAAATGACTTGTAAGGTTTCATTCATTAAGTGAAAAATCTCATATCTGTGCTTTGCCAATGGAAAGCATTTAAATGTTAATCATCAGGAACCAATTAAGGGTTGTATCATATTTATTCACATATATTCACTTCTCAAACACACTCCCCCATCCTGTCTTAATTTTGAGAAGTAAATAAGGATTTTGTCTCCTCCCTCCCCCACTGCATCAACTTCCATCTGGCAGGTGTCATCAAAACTAGACCTCTGAAGGCTTGGTAAGAGCAGTTTGATAGATTTTTTTATGCTAATCAATAAGCCAGCACATTGGAGCTGAGTTAAAACCTTCCCCTAAGAACTGTACTTTATTTGATCTTTTCTAACATTTACATTTAATTGTATTATTATCTAGTTGTATAATGGTATGCTAGTTTTATCTCTTCAACTAATTCTAAGCAACTCAAGAGCAGGGTTCATATTTTGTACCTCATATCTTCCATGGTCCCTAACAGAGTGTTGGACACATGCTAAATCAATAATTACTGAATGAATAACTTAATAACTAATAACAACACAACTGCTAACATTTATTTAGTATTTTACATACATACCTTATATACATACATACTTTACATACATAAATACATACATAATTTACATACATTATCTAATGTTTTTTTCCATTTTGTAAATGAGAAAGATGACACATAGAAAGATTAAGAAACTTGCCCAAGGTCATACAACCAGTAAGAGTCAGGAAAAAAAAAGAAATATAAAATATAACTGAACTCATATTCATCAGCTTCTCAATTTCATACCTTAACTATTTAAAACAGTTCCTTTTTTGAAAAAAAAAAAAGTATATATGGATTCCAAGACGGCTGCAGAGTAGGTGGAAGCTAAACTCACCTGCTCCCAGTGCCAAACAAGATTTACAGCTAAATTATATAGCAATCAACCTGAATAACCAACTGAAAGCTAGCTGGGCTGAAATATTATAACCAAGAATTTACAGAAGACACCATAGAGCCTGATAAGGGTCAAGACGCAGAAAGATCTGAGAAGCTGGACGGATATCTCAGTTGTAAAACTCCCTCTTCCTAGCAGCGTGGGGTCTCAACGCAATGCTGGGATCCTCAACCCAGAGCAACAAAGATGAGAGAAGGGAGTCTGCTAGAGACCCACATGCCCCCTTCCCAGGTTCGAGCACTCCTATTGTTATAGCACCACCTAGTCCTTCAACTACTGGAGATATCACCTTGCTGAGTTCAGGTCCTAAAGAGGGGTCAGCTGGCTGTACCCAGCCAGGAGCTTCAGAGCACTCTTTTCCGGGGAAGCTCTTGGTAGAGACTCAGACAGCGATTGAACTGTGTAGTTTGGGAAGTGGACATTTCTTCCGCACCTCTAAGCACAAGTGGTGCCACCCCCACACTTGTTGAATTACTTGGACTGCCCTACCCCCATAGAGGGATCAGAGTGCCAGAGCTGGAATGTTCAGAGCATGTCTCCCAGGAAGGATTTGTCTGAGAAACAGACAGACGGGCGCTGAGTTGTGTGGCTACATCACAAGGGGGATCAGAGGGCTATTCAGAGCTGGATTCTTTGGTGCATGTCTATCTCAGATGCTCTTGCTTGGAAGGGGAAGAAGTGCCCATCCCCCTCATACAGGCTTCCTGGCACCACCCCCAACAGGAGACTGTTTGGATATGCCCTCCGAAGTCCCAGTGGTCGCATACTACTGATCTCAGGCTCCTCCTGGCAGAATATGAAACAGACTGAGCTGTGTGGCTCTAGGACATGGGGCATATTCCCCTTGGCACGCCCAACTGAAGTATAGCCCTCCCTTCACATAGCCAAATCATGGTCCTTTGGGCCTGATTAATTTTGCTGGCCTCATCCTCATGATTCACTGAGACCATGCCCCACCATAAAGGTGTCTGAGCACCCAGCAGGTGGCAGCTAAACTTAGTATACCTAAGGACTTCTGCTGAGTGGCCACAGAACCAGCACTGGCACCATATTTGAACCTGCATCAATCTGGTAAACACTGTCACGCCCCTATGTGGTGACTCACTTAGAGTTTACCTCAGGAAAATCAAATACCTCCAGAGGCTGTTTCAGTGACTGAGCATAATAGGAGCTGGGAGATGGATATAGGCATAACTAGATCTCAAGGTGCTTTGGGACTTTTGATGATTTGCCCCTGGACCTGGTGGTGGTAATAGCCAGCCCTGGTGTGCAGCTTGGTCCTGCCCATGCACACCCCGGATAAGTACAGATAGCCACAAACTGTACATCACTTTGTAGCTCCAAACAGATTATCCAGGGCCAGTCACAGACAGTGTCTGCCATGGGCCTGCACCAGAGTCACTCCTAGAAGCCCAGAAACAACACATGCAGTGTCCAGCTACAGACATCATGAGAGCAGGATCCAGTAAGTTTCACAAGCAGCATATCCAGAGGAAAATCTTGGTAGGCACCTAATCCTGCTGAGGTTAATTCTGTGTCAGTTGGTGAGAACCTGCACAGCAGCTTGCATGCTGTGTTTGGGGTTGATCCTCACAGTCAGTCAGGCTGAAGGGTGATACCATGCACAAACAGACCAATAGCAATCAAGTTTTCAATTACAACAGGAGGGGCAACACAAACTGGACATTCCTGGAGCACCATATCAAGTGATCGAGGAGACTGCATCACTGGACCCCACAGGACACCTATTACATGAAACCAACTTACCAAGACTAGAAGTCACAGCATATCAACCTAGTACATAGAAACAAAAACAAAGAAGCAACAAAATGTGGAGAGGAAGAAACATGCCCCAAATGAAAGAACAGAAGACATCTCTAGAAAAATAGATAAATGAAATGGAGCCAAGCAACTTATCAAATGAAGATTTCAGAAAAATGGTTATAAGGATGCTCAAGGAACTTAGTAAAAATGACAATGTACTTAATGAGAACTATAATGACATGAAAAAGGATGTAGAAATCATAAAAAAGAACCAGTCAGAAATAAAGACTACAATATCTGAAATGGAGAATGCATTAGAATAAATAAACAGTAGGCTGGACAATTCAGAGGATAGAATCAATGATTTGAAAAACAAAAGAAAAAACAACCAATAAGAACAGAAAAAAGAAAAAGAATTTTAAAAGGGAAGATAGTTTAAGGGACTTTTGGACAACATGGAGTATAACACCTGCATCATAGGGGTACCAGGAAGAGGAGAGAGAAAGCAAGGGATTGAGAACATATTTGAATAAATAATGACCAAAAATTGCCCAACCTGGTGAAGGAAAAAGACCAGGAAGCTCAGACAGTGCCAAATAAAATGAACCCAAAGTGGCCCACACCAAGACACATCATAGTAAATTGGCAAAGTACAAGGACAAAAAGAGAATCTTAAATTCAACAAGAGAAAGAGTTAGCTATAAGGAAGCTCCCATAAGACTGTCAGCTGATTTCTCAACTGAAGTATTTCAGGCAAAAAGGGATTGATGTGAAATATTCAAAGTGATAAAAAGCAAGGACATACAACCAAGACTATTTTACCCAGTAAGGCTATAATTTAAAGTTGAATGAAAAATAAAGAGCTTCCCAGACAAGAAAAAGATAAAGAAGTTTGATATCACAAAACCAGCACTATAAGAAATGTTAAAGGGCCTTATTAAAGAAAATAAGAAAAGAAGTAGGAGGGGAGGAGGAAGTGGAGGAAGAGAGGAACATAGTTAAAAGAATAAAATGGCAATAATTACATACCTATCAATAATTACTTTAATGTAAATGGCTTACATGCTCCAACCAAAAGACACACAGTAGCTGAATGGATAAGAAAACAAGACCCATATATATGCTGAGACCCATTTAAGAATTACAGATACACAGAGACTAAAAGTAAAGAGATGGAAAAATATACTTTATGCAAATGGAAAGGAAAAAAAGCTAGGGTAGCAATACTTACATTTGACAGACTAGACTTTAAAACAACGACTATAGTAAGAGACAAAAAAGATACTACATGTTGAGGAAGGAAGCAATCCAACAAGAAGATATAACCTTGTAAACACATATGCACCCAACACACAAGCACCTAAAAATGTAAAGTAAATGTTGATGAACATAAAGGGAGAGATTGACAGTAACACAGTCATAGTAGGGGACTTTAACACCCTATTGACAGAAATGGATAGATCTTCAAGACAGAAAATCAAAGACATAAATGACACACTAGATCAGATGTATTTAATTGATAGCTTCAGAGCATTTCACTCTAAAGCAATAGAATATGCAGTTTTTTTCAAGTGCACATGCAACATTTTCTAGGATAGACCAAATGTTTGGACACAAAACAAGTCTCAATAGATTTAAGAAGATTGAAATCATATCAAGCATCTTCTCTGACCTTAATGGTATGAAACTATAAATCAATCACAAGAAAAAAACTGAAAAAACACACAAATATAAAGGCTGTATTACATGTTACTAAACAATAAATGGGATAAAAGGATATCAAGAAATAAAGATACCTTGAAACAAATTAAAATGAAAGCAGAACAACTCAAAACCTATGGGACAAAGTAAAAGCAGTCCTATGAGGGAAATTCATAGCATTACAGGCCTATCCCAAGAAACTAGAAAAATCTCAAATAAACAATCTAACTTTACACTTGAAAGAACTTGAAAAAGAACAACAAACAAAGCTCAAAGAGAGTAGGAAGAAGAAAATAATAAAGATCAGAGCAAATAGATATATTTCTGTATGGGAGAACCAAGATGGCGGCATAGGTAAATACCGGAGTTTGCTGCCTCGAACAACCACTTCAAAAATACAGCTAAAAGATGGAATGGACATCACCCAGAACCACAGAAAAGCTGGCTGAGGGGAAATTCTTCAACTAGAAGGAAAGAGAACAGCATACTGAGGCTCAGA